AAAAAAAAAAAAAAAGAAGCATCCAGATTATAGTTACAACATTTATATTCTACCCATGCTTTTAGATTCCAATTAATAGTTAGAAAGCCTTTGCCTACACTAAGGATAAAAAAAGAATTCAGGGCTCGGTGCCTGTGGCTCAAGCAGTTAAGGCTCCAGCCACATACACCTAAGCTGGCAGGTTCTAATCCAGCCTGGGCCTGCCAAACATCAGTGATGGCTGCAACCAAAAAATAGCAGGCCTTTGTGGCAGGCACCTGTAGTCCCAACTACTTGGGAGGCTGAGGCAGAAGAATCACTTGAGTCCAGGAGTTGGAGGTTGCTGTGAGTTATGATGCCGGCACTCTACCCAACGTGACAGCTTGAGGCTCTCTGTCTCAAAAAAATAAAAATAAAAGGAATTCAGGAAAACCAGGTGCTATGGAAAAAATAAAGGAATCTTTTACTGTCCTTATTTTCAATAACTGATTCTTTTTTTTCTGATTATGAAAGTCATACATTGCTTCTTGTAGAGCATTTAGAAAGTATGAAGAATAAAACTCGAATGTTGCTATAATTCTATCACCTGGAGATGACTACCCTTTTCTGTTTTCCCTCTTTTAGGAATTTAGTCCGGGTTTTCTTTTTTTGTTATTGTTGCAGTTTGGCTGGGGACAGGTTCGAACCCACCACCCTTGGTATATTGGGTCGGCCCCCTACTCACTGAGCTACAGGCACTGCCCTAGTCTGGGTTTCCTGATAATATTTTAAGAATGTTGGATAAAGTGAAGATAGTTAAGGTCCCTTAGGACTATTACTCATTTAGAAAAAATTGTTGGGCAGCACTTGTGGCTCAGTGAGTAGGGCGCCAGCCCCATATACCGAGGGTGGCTGGTTCAAACCCGGCCCCGGCCAAACTACAACAACAAAAAAAATAGCTGGGCGTTGTGGCAAGCATCTGTTGTCCCAACTACTTGGGAGGCTGAGGCAAGAGAATCGTCTAAGACCAAGAGCTGGAGGTTGCTGTGAGCTGTGATGCTATGGCACTCTACTGAGGGCAACAAAGTGAGACTCTGCCTCTAAAAAACAAACAAACAAACAAAAAAGAAAACAGAAAAAAATTATCACATCTTCTTTTTCTTTCATTTTAGCACAAACACGTCATGTTTGACAAGACTATTAAACACTATTAGTCTAAGAAAGACTAAGAAAACCATTCTAGACTCCTGATTGTCTAGAGTATACTAAAAGATACAATTTCAGCTGCAAAAGTAATAAATTGTAAATAGCTGATAAATCAAACAGTTAAACTCTATTGTTCACAATTTCTTTTTTGGTTTTTGCTTTTAGGGGATTTTGTTGTGTGGGTTTTTCTTTCCTTTTTTCTTTGGAGATAGGGTTTAGCTCTGTTGCTGGGGCTAGAATGCAGTGGCATTGTCACAGCTCACTGCAGCCTCCAACTCCTGACCTCAAACTATCTTCCTATCTCAGCCTTCCAAGTAGCTGGGACTATAGGTGGACATCCGCATGTCCAGCTAATTTTTCTATTTCTTGTAGAGACAGAATATCACTATGTTGCTTAGTCTGGTCTCTAACTCCTGGCCTCAAGGAGTTAGAGACTAGCCTTGGCCTTCCAAAGTGCTAGTATTATAGGCATGAGCCACCATCCCTAGCTCATTGTTCAGTGTTTTGTAGAGAAATAAAGATGCTGCTTCTTTTCTCAAAAATGTATATGTATATTTTTACAGACTTTTTTTTTTTTGAGACAGAGCCTCAAGCTATCACCCTGGGTAGAGTACCATGGCTTCACTGCTCACAGCAACCTCCAACTCCTGGGCTCAAGCGAGTCT